CGCCTCCATCCTTCCGTAGCCGAAGTTTGACTCTGACAATAAGCAGAACGATCAAGTCGGCGGCAGGTTTGACAAGGTTGAAGAGGAGATCGGACGGAGAACAGTATCGCCTCTGAGGAAGTGCATTTCCCGCCGAAACCACTTGAGGAGCGACTGAGCGTAACCTCAAATGAGTGCTTTGTACAAAGCCCCGCTTCAGAATCCTATTGGTCGGGTCTGGAATGTAACAATGATAAAGGCCGGCCACGGCAGACATATAGCGCCATCGCCGCTCAGCTCAGAGGGGTAGGGCTGGTCGGGATTGGACGGGATTAACTGGGCCCATCTTGTTACGGTTCCAGACGACGGGCCTGACAGGCATCACGAACCATAAAGTAAACCAGATATCGCGACTCCGTGAGATCACGGAAGTTGCTGAGGTAGGATCCGCCAGAATTTTCGACTGTGAATCTTTTAAACCTGAAGATGAATCCTTTTGGCCAATGGGTTTATGGAAATTTCAACACCAATAATTCGGGGCTTTCTGCGAGGAATGACAGAAATGAATCCAATACTTTAGAGGCAGTAATTTAAAATTTCATTATTTATGCTGTAAAATGTTTTATCCTCAACACCCTTCAAAATATTTCAACTAGTGAATGCAACTAAACAACCTAGTAAGCCCCAAAGTCCTTAATCTTTAAATATCAGTACAATTTTGGTGCACACTAAGCAAGATTTGCACCCTGAACTCGAGTGTTTAAGCGGGGAGTCCACAAAAATATGATTTTTTTTTAGGACGATCCATTATAATAAATTTGAATATATTACATTTGCTCAGTCTGAAAATAAGCGCAACACTGGATTTCCTGTGGGACGCCATATCACAGTCATACCAAAAACTTATTTTTCGATGTCTATAAGAAGAAAAAGATCGACATAAACTACCACTTCTTTAATTTTCAACGGTTAAGCTCGGACTCAACCACTCTCTTTACCATGCAATTATAACAGTACGAATGTCTGAAATCTAGGTCCTGACTACCGAAAAAAAAATTCCATTGGACATCGCTTTTCCTGCTGTTGTTTTCTTAAAACCCCCAAATCTCTTTTCACACCTATCCAATTAGGTGTATTGTACCTGACAGTATTCCTGAAAATACTAGTAGGGTCTCGCTCCCTCTCTCTCTCTTTGCTGAAGTGACCTCGGTGCCGTCGTTTCTCACCGACACCCCCCCCCAGTCCTGCCTGTCGAGGACACGCCCGGCTGGGTGCTTTTCTTTCGGCCGGCTACGGGCCGATGTGAACGGCCAGCGTGGGGTAAAGTCTGCGCTCGTGTTGCTCGGGGACTCCGGAGATCTCCCTTTTCTGTTCCTTCCTCAATTGCTCCGCAATCGTCCCCTTGTGAATGATTGTTTGTCTAATTGGGGATAGAGGGTGGCTTTCTTGTTCCTCAGTAAAAGGACATGTTTGTGTTGGGGGGGTGTTCTGGTAAAAGGCCGATTGTTGACATGTCGAGCTCATAGGGGTAAACCCATCCAAGTTGTCCATCAACCGAACAATGCAGAATTATCTAGGCCGAAACGACAGCTAATGATTCAAAGCGAGGCTCACAGGTGAACCGTCCTTCGTGCCAGCCCCACTACATAACCATTCAGTTGGCGCACTTAACACTGGAAGATGACCAAAACCCTTCAGCCCCCTGTGTTTTAGTTCAGAATAACCTCTGGATCATGACTACCTTTACAGCAAAGTTTTTTTCAATTTCTTGTAGCTGAGGTAGTCTACACGATCTTAAAAACATGACTGGCCCATTATCATTTCAAGATATGCCGAAGTTACAACGGCATACAATGAGCAGACGACAAACTCGCACAGCGGGGGCAACATTTTCCATTGTGGGCAAGTCCTGTTGCGTCCCACAAAAGGTTGGGCTGGCCAACAAAGACCACCGACGGATTTGGCCGTGAACAGGACACGTTAACAATTCTCCGGACCATCATTTTGCCTCTCAAAATATTATCAATGGGCACAATTATCTCTCTTTTGGGCTTCTCGTCGAAAATATTTCAAAAATGCACTGTGAGAAACTTGTGAGGTGTAAGTTGTAAATGGTGCGGTGTAGCGGTTTGATTGTAGCTTGTAACACTCTGGAGTTTCAACCTGCGGTTGGTCAGACTCTTGCGAAAATTATGCAGGCCGAGCCAGTGGTCGGTGGAGGGACCTTTGATTCCGATGAAGTGGAAATTGACGGGCTAGAGCTGACGACTTTGGATTCAGTCAAGAGCGTGGATAACATGGTTATCGGGAGAGCAGGTAACTTGGGCTGTTAGACACCGAAAAACAAACAGTAACTAAAACTCAAACACCGAAGCTTTCCTCCTTAATGCCAACGGACAAACGAGGACAGTGACGAACCTTTAATGTTGTCGGTGGAGAACGGCTTTTACACAAGATTTTTGGGGGCAGTAGTGGTGGTAGTCTTCGACAAAAAAAAAAAAATCGAGGAACCACGGTGAAAACGGTGCTGCGAAAAATCAGCTCTGGACGAAATGTAAAAGTCGCAAAACTAACCTTGCTTGTCTGCAATCGACTTGATCACTGTAGGCCTATATATTTTGTACATTTATAACAATGGCAGGTCCCATTTTGTGGTTAATTAGATATAAAAACGGTGCTGGTTTAATAAGTTTTTTCAAGTGGGGGTTTTCTTTGAAGGCAAATCGGAATAATTCCTGGGTCAATCAAGAAAAATGATTCTAGAGTACAGGTTTCGCTGAAAATAAATCAGTCAGTATTCAACTTAAGGAAGCGCTACAATATCTGATTGTGCTGTTACGTTTGATAGAGCGTTAGATACTAAAACAGGGCCAGAGTAAATCTATAAAAATTGAAATCAATGTAAAGTGCACAAGGTGCTTTTGCCATTTGAATTCAAACAAACAAACTAACGGGACATGCTTTGTAGTCTGTCGAGAAGTTATGTAATCCAGCTCAAAGCCAGCTCCGTCTTAAGTCTTGAAAGTCTCGCAATGTTCTTAATGCATAGAGGACTTTAGGTGGGGATTTGGCGGCATACGGACATTTAGCCCCGCGAATTCATGAGGCTTGCGCGCGGATTTAAAGCATGGAAATGACTGACAACAAAAGAAATTGGCTTGGCTTGCTTGCTGTTTTTTTTTTGTATTTCCATCGGGCTGTTATTTCAGCATCAACCGCTTGATTTTGTGAGTTTTAATTTTAAAAGGGCGAAGCGGTTGACTGTCAGTGGGGACCGAGCGCGGATTACAGACTCGGCGTAGCGCGAAAATGCCGGGGCCCTGACTAGTGTTACAGCGGCCCTTACCGTTCAGCATGCAGAGCGATGGACGGCGCTTCGTAATGCCTTTTTTTTCCACCTCAGTTCATATAATATATATATATACATTCGCATTGCTACCGCATGCACCTTTGTGTTTCCATGATGGACGAAGGAGGGGGGGTGTAGAAAGGCCGTGGAATTGGCTGTAGATCCCTGTTGATCCTCTCAGAATAGAGATACACGCATGACACAAGCGACTGATGCTAGGAAGCTATCCCCTGGAAGCTCTAGCTTATTTGAAATTCATGGGCATGGTGCTCCCCATAGGCCTTGGCGCGGGCCTCGCCGTTCACGCTGCCGTACTCGGCCGAGGCATTGCCGATCGAAAATGCAATTTTCATTTCGCGGCGGTCTAATCCACCGGGCTGATGAGTAGCATCCGATTTTGTTTGGTTGGTAAACACACCCCTCCCGTATCTCTGTGCTACTGTTTTCACAACCTACCCCCTTTCTTTTCGCACATGAATTTTAAAAAAAAAAGTAAGAAAAACGGGAGAAAGAAGGGTTCGAAAATCGTGTCAACAGTTTCTTGGCATAGAAACAATCGTCCCTGAAAGATAAATGCACGTATCCTGCGGCAAAACAGGATCATCTCCGGTTTTTTTCTGCTCTTATCTCTGACAGAAACCGGGCTCCATTACCCGTTTTCCCCCCTCATCCTCCTTATTTACCGCTTTCCCGACATTATCAAATTTCGATGCAATGGCTTAGGCCGTGAGCCGTCCAGATTCAAGCTGAGCCCGCGACGAGAGGGGACCCAGGAGTTGGCCGAAGCCCTTCAGTCCCGTAAACAAATTGACCAAATCTTCCGCGTAAGCTGCGTTCCAGTTTGTCCGGGAAAAATAAAGCGTTTTGTATGGCAGATCTGGGGGATTTGGGTTGAACTAGTTTTCTTATGGATCTGGGTAAAGTGATGCATATTTTACTGACGTAGTCTCTGTTCGAATGACGACACAACTACTAAAAGACTTCATATTCAGATTCTAAATCTTGGGACAAAATATCTTCCTTTCGTTTGCATAAGGAAACATATTCTGTCATCCTCTCAATAAAATAAAATCAGCAAAAGTGAGCTGCACAGATCTATAGTCATTTTGAATATAAAATTTTATTCAATTCGAAAAAAAGCTCATTCGGTCACATAAAAGTTCCAAACGAGGAAAACCATTTCGGTGGAGAAAATGAAAAGCAATAAATCCGTGTGTGAACACAACTCAGTCCATTTTTACAGTAATGCAAAATATTAAATCTTAAGATTCTGCAAATTGTAGAATTTGTAGAGGTATTTTATACTTATGTAATTTCTTAATCCTGTTATGAATTTTTTAAAAGTTGCACATAATATTTGACAAGCCCATATCCGTTCAGCAAGTGAATGGTACTGAGGTTATTCATGACTTTTGGACATGCTTTGCAGTTTTGTGATTCCTTGTGGAATTGTAATTTAATTCGATGGCACTGTATCCTCCATTATTTTTGTGCCTGACCTTCAGGATCTGCCCCTGTTTTTTGGCATGAGTCAGAAAGTTGATAATGGCGATTGTGGTTACGGTGGTGCGCATGTCACAGTGTGATTTGGATCTTCCAAGTCTCTTTTGTCTCGTGGACAGTGCCACGTCGTTTGCAGCATCCATCGCGTTCCCGTTTCAAGTGGGTTTAATTAGCCCATAGTTTCCATCAATCACAGTGCACAGATAAAGATAAACGAGAAAGCTCCGAGGATTTTGGCGTTTTGAATCTGATACTTACGGAGAGGAATTTTGGACTTCCGTCCCACCAGAAAGAAGCACCTGCAGAGCAGAGAGCTAATGTCACTTATGATTGATGGTGGGCCGGAGCGTAAATGAGATGAGATCCTAAGCTCGCCATTGGTCCAGCATTGACCTTAGACCACGCCCGCCCTACTTTGCTCTCCGCAAGTCCGTGACGTCATCGAGTAAGTTGCAAGAGGCCAAGTAAATGGGTGAAGTTTGTACCCCTGTCTCTGTCGACAAAGAAAAACCAAGAGGGATACGGTCACGATTAGAACACGAGCCCTTGTCTTGACAAAACTCCGGAGATCGTCAGCGTTGGGGTCTAACCGGTGTATTGTGCCCAAGAAAATAGGTCCTGTGTGTAGCGCGCCACGGGTGTCCCTGCGTCGCCTTCGAAGTGAGAGGTACGTTTGCACTACAGTTCCGCCCGCAGGGTTTTCTTGTGCACGGGAGGAAAGAGAGCCGGGCAAAAACGGCTTACAAATCTGGGCCATTGAATCAGCGCAGTTGATTGCATGGACCGGTTTCGCGAATCCCATCCCCGGGATTTACGTTCCCCTCAGTGAGGGCGTGCCAAGCAGGTAGATTTCTCCAGAAGGACCACGCTGTTGCATATTCCGGGAGGGAGGGCCGGCCCGTCCCATGCTGTCAGCGAGCTGGAAGTCTAACCGCGTTGGACTTGGCTGGGCCGGTTTCTATCCGTTCGGATTGCCTACGGTGCAGCCCACTTTTTATACGGCTTCGTCGTTTAGCAAGCCCATCGTCATCCTTGCAAATCCTCCCTAAGTTCGTCATCACCAGGGCTCTCATCAACGTCGACATCAGCAGTAGCAAGCACCGGGGAATCATCAGCATAAACACCCATTCTGCTGCGCGCGTGTGTTTTTTCCCCCATTTTTTTTCTTGTATTCATCATCTTCTTCAACAACCCGGCCTGAGTCTCAACCCCTCCTTGATTGATAAATACACCATGAACGGACTCAGCGATCCACTCGCTACCTTGGAGGACCTGGTTAGCGCCGAGTCGTCAGCCAGGAACCCGACGGGGGCTTTGAGCAGCATGACAGCGGCGGCAGCAGGAGCCGAGTCGGGGGTGTCCCGCTACAGCCGGACAAACCCGAGCGTCGTCGGCTCTATGGGTTGTACAAGATTGTCGGTGGACACACACGGTACGCTGAAACCAATAACAATCTCTCTTCTACCTTGCTTTGATTACATTCTTGTGCTAGATTCACAGTTTTAAACTGTTGTATGCAAATCTGACAAAAGTTTCAACTCATAAGTAAAACAGTCGCCTGCTTCTGTTTTTTCAATGACCAAATAGCAATTATCCCTGATTGGGCTAAATTACTTTGTAGGCTACCTCTTTTGTTTCTGTTGAAATATTTCAGAGTTATTGGTATCCTTCTAACCAGAGGTTTAACGTCTCCTGTTGGTTGGGCTGTCATTTAAAGCTTTGCTGCCTTTCGCAGGCTGTCACAAATGCATGCATGTAAATATGTGCCGAGCGCAGTTAGTCTCACTTCGAGTAGTTTTTCATTCAAAGACACACAAGGTGGCTGATGTCTGTAATACCTATTCATGTTCATTTAGGCCTTCGCGCCATTGATTTCGTGGACGGTTTAGAGAGAAGAAAAAATGTTGCTGAATGAGGAAACAACCCCACCCCATCAGGAGTGTGACTGCCCTTGCTTTCCAGTCCATTCCATTTGTAATAGCGTCAAAAGTCCCACGATACTGCAAGCTTTCGGGCAAAAAATCTGCGACAGTCGACTCTTGTTTCGCACGGACTGTTCTTAATGTATGAAAACTGAAATGTTCATCCGAACCCAAATATTAAGCTGTGAATTCGCCACCCTGAAGCATTTCCAGTTTATCATTCATAACGACCAAGGGGTTTAAAGAATAGTGTCAATCACCAAACGCACTCTCAATCCTCGGTGCTATATACGTTAGCAAAGCTGGCCGAACTCATAAAGAGTTAGCGCGATATCTGGGGAACAAGTCCCACTTAACGCTGTCGCTATTTTTCCCTCACTCGTGCATGCGTAATCTATCGACTGGATCCATTTGATGTATTTTTTTTCAAGTCAGTTCCATATACAATGTACTTTGTCAGTGAAGTGACCCGCCTCTGCTTTCAAAACAACTGAATTTTGCATGCAGGCCTCGCATATTTTTGCCTGATTCAGCTCAAGTTGAATTTCATGTTGCAGTTTTTATGCTGTTCCTTGCCGAAACTGTTTAACTTTCTATCGGCCCCATAGTGACAGGAAAATACCTCGAATTATGAAAAACCCTTATTAACTGGACTGGAAAAGTATTACTCGTAATTTCGAGTTAATGGCGTGTAACATCTTTTCGGCATTACTGCTAATTAACTTAATGACTAAAGAGTATTGTTATTATCCAACTAATGAAACGGGTTTGCAGATGGGGACACGTGGCCTCTTTTCAGAAGTGAAACAGGTGGCTGCGATACTGAAACATTGGACTCCTAATTTTTCATTCAGCTGCAAAGTCTACACCAGAGGAGATGTGCCGTTGTGTTGAGACAAAAACCTCTGTTTTATGTCATTTCCATTTGTATGTCAACATTCCCACAACGAATTATTTCGAACTCGACTTTATCTTGACTCACCCTTTATAATGCACGTCTCGCTCCCCCGAACGTTCAGGGCAGAATTTATCAGTTTTTTTAACATTTCTTGGCGGATTCTCGTTGAAGACCTTGATTTCATGAAGAGATAGGTGACATGATAATCTTTCTATATCAATCGAGGAGCATTCTCTCAAAGGTACGCATCAGTGTTAGCAAAGATATTTACTGAACGATTTAGCGATTGTAATTTTAACAAACCGAAACAGCAGCGTCAAAAAAAATGAATTTGCTTTTCTACAACTGCGACCATAGCGAACGAAATCATGTACGATTAGGTTTAATTAATTAACGTTTACATAAAGAAGATTATTCGACAAAGGTACTGCAGGTATTAATTTTGCCAATCAGATAGTTAGCCGTGTTCGAGGACTTTGGGGAAATAAAAATGGAACTGTTTATTTGGTTTGTTGTCATTTTTGTAAGAATAAATGTACAGATGGTTACTGTGGCCAAGCTACACATTTTCCAGCGGAAAACATGGTATTACTTCAAAGCAGAGAACAAACGCTTTCCACTGATGCCTCATTCATCAAATGAAATTAAGACCAAAATACTTAAAACAAAGAAAAAAAAAAGAAAACAGAGAGCGTGTAGCTAGTATAAGAGGCTTGCTTTTGTGGGGGAAAAAGCCGATTGCATTTATCATATACTGGCAAAGTGGGGGCATTTAAACGACACGGTGGCTCGACGCCTCACGTGTTTTTGCTGTTAATCTCTCAAAAGCCATGACCCCAACTTGTTTTCGTCAGGAAAAACAACTTCCGCCGCACCAAAAACTGGTGCGCGGCAGAACCGTGACCCCAAATTTGTACCAGTCTCACCTATGACACTGTCTGGGATAATTTGCGACCTATCGGTTCTAGTGATTCGCCCCGAAGGAGACTAACAAATAAGAGAGTCTGATAAACTATACACGTCTGTATCAGATCTTATGCTAATTTTTTGTTTGTTTTCATATAGACAGTAATCGCACGTAACTTGTTCATGTATTGCAGTGTTCATGTCTTACTTGTAAAATGGAGCTTGTTTGATTCATTCCTGTTTTTAGGAATCGTTCGCCGCCGGCTATGCGGACTTTAAAGTTTTCACATTAAGAAGTGTTTTGATTTGCCTTTGGTTTCCCTTGAATAACAGAATCAGCGAGTGTGGAAGACCAGGCCGGCGGGCCAGCGGAAGAGAGCGGCGGAGACGGCGAGTCGAGCAAGAAGCGACGGCAGCGCCGACAGAGGACACATTTCACCAGCCAACAGCTGCAGGAGCTAGAGGCCCACTTCGCCCGGAACCGCTACCCGGACATGTCGACTCGCGAGGAGATCTCAGCGTGGACCAACCTGACAGAGGCCCGGGTCAGGGTGAGTATCACATACGGTACCGAAAGCTGTGACCCTCCGTAGCTGTTGTTGCTGCTGGTGGTGCCGGCACATTGTCGCTGATAGTGTGACTGTTGGAAAACTGAACTTCATCATCCCCTCTCTTTACATCAGTCAGTTAAAAAAGTTCTTCACAGAAACATCGCCAACAGTAAATAATAATAACAATAATAATAATAATATAATAATAATTAAAATCAACTAAAAAAAATCTGTTGGATGAAAAAGAAATGTATGGATTCCTTTTACTGAAACGGACACTTAAAAAAAAATAGCGGTAGAAAAAAGGCCCTGTACAAGAGGCTGAAATTCACATGCATCCTTGTCCAGATGACATAATTTTCTCTAGAATACCTTTTTTTTGTGCACAATTGCCGAAAATAATTTGGCAGCTCGAAAGACGAGCATCACTAGACTAATGATTCGCACATTTCACAAGATCTGAAATAACCGGACCAACGCATCGAAAAGTAAATGTTTCCAGTCTGATACCGAGTGCCATCCCTTTAAGAGTCCGCAGCAACTGCCGAAGCGATTACTGAGGTAGAATACTAACGCACGATTCCCCGTCCTGCACAAACCAACGAAGCAAATCTAGGCTATTTGCTCTCGATAGGAACAGATGCTTAAAGGGTTCATTCTGCATGTAATGATGAAAATATAGTCCCTATTTGAGCGCCTTCGTTTCGACCAGTTTTATAAGGGCATTCTGGTGCCTTTTGGGTTTGTACGCTTACGTAAACATGCAACCTCATGAGCACACGTGTGACGTCAATTCAGGAGGAATCCTCAGTATCATACCTGTTTCAGCAAAACTAATGCTAGAATTTCCTTTTTTAGAGATTTGTTGTTTCATCTGTGACAGTAGGCCATTGAGCGGTCTTTTTTACTACGCACTTCCATTGATCCAATTTCAACCCCAAACCCCTAAAATAGACAGTGTCTTTCTAACAACAGTGCAGTCATTTTTTCAAGGAAAGTATGCAATTAAAAAAATCTTTTGGAAAGCGCACTTTTCAATAACCTTACCCAAAAGGGATGTGAAATGGTTCTATTCTGTCGGAAGGAATAAAACACAACGCACAAAAATATGCTGGCAAGTGAAATTTACGCCATGGCTCTTTAAAAGTACCTGACAGAAGAGAGGGCTTCCTCCTTTTGTGGGGTCAACTAACTGTGCCAACCATTTCCAATTTTGCTGAAACTGAAATCAGTTTTCCAGACGGTGAGATTTGGTAAAATATACCCAGTCGCAAATTTCTCACATGAGGCAGACCCAGGTGTCAGTCAAGTTCAAGGAATTTTTAGGCACAACGCGCTTGAAACGCATTAGCCGTCCTCCTAACACGGTACCTAATTTGTTGAATTTTCCTGTCTTGTTGGTGGAACTGATTTATAATCCAGGCGTCTCGCTCGGCAGAAAAGATGACCGACCTTCGACAAATTGTCCAATAAAAGAGGTATCTGTGTATGGAGATGATTATCAACCCATAAGATTTTCACATTTATTTTCTTGAGGGATAGCATTTGACCAGTTGTGGTGTTTCCCACTTTTTTCTACGTCAACAATATGTTTAACTCCAAATGTTAGGTTGTAAACTTACACTTCTGTTTAGGGATTTTACTCCCAGGATTTAAGAATAAGGAGTAAACTTCAAGAGTAATTTTTAAGGGTTGAGGGGACAGTTTTTTTCTTGTCACGTGACATTGATTCATACCGAAACCAATGTCAGCTGCTTTTCAATCGAGGAACAGGTTTTTTTTTTTTAAATTTTATCGGTAACTCGTAACAACCGCAGTAGGGGAACATGCTCATGAGAAGCGACTTTCCGCCTGCGGTCACTTTCCGTGTTGAGTCAATTGCTCACTGAGAATCGATTATTGATCAGCACAAAAACCACACGAAGGGCTCTTTTGAGGAATCGATGACCCATGCTTTTGACTTATAAAAGTACAAAGAACCGTATCCTGACTAGGTCTTAGTGAAAAAGTAAGGGTTAATGTGCGTACAGTAAGGCAGATAAAATACAGGCAATGCCGTCCCTGGTGATTTTCTGGGTCTGCCCAACCATTTTCATGTCGTTCACCTGAGTATTCGAGGCTCCCTGTGCTGAAAGAGAGAGTGCAAATGCAGCGTTAATTACCTAAGTGCTAAAATTCACATATGGCCTTCCCGCATGGTTGCATCTGAATTCATGTGCGTTGTCCACCACAGCTTGACGGATTGCTGAAGATCAAAGACACGATGTAAGGAATTTCCGTTCTTTTCTAGTTAACAGGAAGACATGTTCTGCACTATGTGTTGTCTAAATCGTGTCCATGTCATGTTGGGCCATGTCATATCATGTCATGTCATGTCACGTTATGTCATGTAACGGACTCTGCGATACCTTGTGTCACACTGTGTGCCGGATTATTAACACACACAATCCAAATCCGTTAATGTCATATTTAGTAGTAACAAGTACAGTGAGACATGTCCTTTTATCTCTTTTTTGTACGTCTCAGCAAATTTTGTATGCTTCTTCGGCGTCTTGCGCCGGTAACTCTAAGCACTCTCTTCGTGTCTCACGGTGCTCCACCTTTCTGTGTTGTCTAGGCTTATTTTGATTGCATCGACTTGTCTTGCTTATGCATCTTGACTTCTGCTGTGTTGATTTCCTTTGGTTGGGTGTGTCTCGCCCTGTCTTGCGTTGTCCTGTCATGTTTCAGAATATCTCAGCACATCACGTTTGGCAAGTCTCGTGTTTTCTCGCCTGATCCCCCGTCTTATCTGTCAAAGAGACAATTTTTCACGAAACTGGCTGTTCCGTATAGCACAAGACAAAGGCGTGCATAGTCTGGTCAAGTCCTCTCGCCGACTCCATTCAAACTGAATGATACGAGCGTCTGAAAAAATAAACAGTCGGGTCCAATAACGTATTAAGAAGTGTAGATGAATGGATATTTTTTACTGGTAATGCTATACCGCAGAGCCTGTGCAAGTGTTAATGTGCACTCACTTCTACTAATCAATAAAAATGTACATGAGTTATCAAATGTCTGCACACCAAGTAATCCATCTGCTACGGAGTCACGGCCGTCCGGCTTTCGATAAGATCACTCTTACACACACGTAATTAATTCTCAGAATCCTTTGGGCCGGAGAGCGGGTTTTGTTTCAAGTCATCGAATACGTTTCGACCCTTCCCCGGCGTAAGGATACCAGTCGATAATCTTTCAGGTATAGCGTTAGGCGGCGGTCGGGATACTAGACGGGCGGAAAACGTACTAGTGGTTTTGTTTTGACCATGTTCTGACGGGGAGAGAGTAGCGGTGAAAGTGGGGTCACTGTCCACTACACAAGACCGCGCAATTAGCCCTACAAATCGCCACGAGCTGAATGGAAGTCGTTTTTTTTGTTTCGACCACAGTTCCCTTTCTATCAACTGAAATTGATTTTCCCTATGATTCTTACAAGCTTGTAAGGATCGTTTCACATCAGTTACGAAAACAGTGCTCTCGTGTTTGTTTTAAAGGACACGGTCAAAGAGATTAAACCCCCGACCTTGTAATAAGTTTTCAGCGAAGCTCGATAAAGGGTTTGCCGCATAATAACTTAAAAAAGTTGAACGAAATTAATCGCCGTTACTTTATAGGAATGCAGGAATCGAAGAGCAATGATAAGCTATCAGGACAGTTGCGATCGAATGAAGAATACGGCATTGCGATAGGTCGTATCCGTGCTGGGGAAAAAATAGTTGCTGGTTAAGAGACTAGACGTGGAGCACAAGATGCTTCTGGCAAATTACAGTGGGTTCAGTTTCAGCGGTGTGTTGATTTGCGGATAGTGCCGAGGGCACGAGCTGAGCGAGTCACATCTTCATCACTCAGATTGGTGAAAACTGCCGTCCTTTCTCTCCTACTCCGGCACATGTAATTTCCTTTGTTCCTGCATTCTTTTCCAGCCACCCCCCCCCAAATGGCGGATATCTCTTACGGAAGAGTGGCGTTGCCGGCACTGGTTTAATAGTCTGATGGAATGCGCTCCCCTCACTGCCAGTTTGCGGGACGATTAGAAGTCCTCAGAGGGAGGCAGATAGAAAACCCGGATTGGTCCTCGATCGGTGCGTAATTTCCAATGATGGGCTTGTCTGAGACTTTGCTTGCAGTGTCAATAGTCATTAATGATGGAATGCCTTAGAAGCTGCTTGTGTCTTCATTTGTCGAAGTGCGGCTGCTCTTTCAGTTCCGATTTTGCTCCGTGCCTTGACGAGTTCCATTTTTTTGTTTACATTAAAAATACCCGACATCTTTGAAAACGGATAATTGAAATTCCGAGAGGTAGCACATTTAGTTTTAAAACTTTCACGATCCATCCAGAGGAGGGACACGATTCCTCGGTAAAATGGTTCACTATCAGTGCAGGAGACATGATTATTTTACTCACTAATGTTGAACTGGAGAAATTGACACATAACCTCTTTGAGTAAAATAGCCATGCCTTGTCCTGTTAAGTGCACGTCGCTCCTCGCTGAATATTTCAGGGACAGAACCCCGTGAAGCTTGAGAATCTTCCTCCGCACGGCAGCCTGCGAAAGATATTAGTCGCTCGGGCTGTAATCCACGGAGGGACACATTTTTATTCAAAATGCAGACGAAAAATACATTGTGTCACACCTGCGTTGGGCAGAGCCGTGCGGCGTCCTCGGGAGACGAATTGTTTCGGAGGAAATAGTGCTGTGGTCTGGCCCCGTCACTCATCGGGACGAGCAGTCGGGGGCGACGTTTGAATGGCGACAGAGTGCACACAGTGCTGTTTTTCCCCTTGGAGTTGTTCGTCAGCCTTAGCGAGGCTATTTTATGTATAGCGGAGGGGTGCGTGCCATGAACTTGAAGAGGGCTTTTGGTCATGGATTCCGCCACCTTTTGGGCCGAAAGTGTATATTCTCGACAAGGGCGAATCCAGAACCACATTTTGGGGAGCCAAACTTGCTTTTGATTTTATTGGGGAAAGGGGCCAAAAAACCAGATTTTTTTTTCAGTAACCCTTAATGGTCTCCCTGAGAGGTGAGGCTACGTTTTGGGGATAAATTTCTACACGCTTTCGAATTAGAAAAGGACAAAAACCCTCCAAAATCCTCTTTATCTGATTATTTTTCCAAAATAAATCGTGGGGGGGGGCTATGGTCCATGCATTCCCCCTGGATCCCCTCCTGATGCTCGACGATAATCCTTATCCAAAACTGAGCGAATAAAGTGGTACGTGCATCCTGCATCTGATGGCAATTTTTGAAATGCTGCAACTTCATTAATTGTGAGTGTCGTTTGAACGTAATCTGCTTAGGAAGTTTGAACTTATAAGCTCAGGTTCAATACGATCTGCTTCAAATAAGCAATGATTTACTGATACAACTGAACCTATTTTGTTTAGACCTCCTCGAGGCCTCTCGCTGAGAATTTTATTCATTCAACACACGAAACAGTCGTCAACAGTGCAAGTAGTTGAATGAAATTTCGAACTAAGACGCTAAGAAAAACTGCTCATCAGTACCGGTGGGATAAATATGGTTTCACACTTTACCGCAGTGCCTAGAGATTCCAGCCAACATAGGTGGATCGGCGTGGTAAACCCATCAGACGGTTCAACTGCTCCGATTTGCGAGGGTCGCCGATGATGGTGACGGTGTTGATGATGATGATGATGATGACGACGAAGATGATGATAATGATGAAAAGAAATGGCGGGAACATGAACTTTTCCGTAAGAGCGGGTGAAAAATAAGGAAGCACATGTTTGGTCAACCGCCATTTATTAAGGGCGATGCGTTGGCACGACGGAAGTGAATTCGTGGCATATAAATTGCGAGCTGACGCGAGGCGCACGGGTACGATAGGGGGAAAGGGTCGGGTCAGGTTAGCGATGAGAGACGCGAGGCAATCGGAGAAAGCAAAGGAGCAAAGCGTCGGGATAATACTCAGTGCCAAGTCGAGATTAATATCAGTTTGCTTTCAAGGTTTCGCACTCTCGCTGCCTCTCAGTGAGGAAAGCTAGTGTTAATGGTTTGCTTTTACTACATGCAATCTCCCCGGTTTTCCCATGAAGCGATGCATCCCTCTTTCAAAATGAAGAAAACCGATGAAGAAATTGATACAATTGGTTGGTTATCTGCCTACAGAAATAGTAGTCCGTGGAATACCAGCGTAGGTATAGGCCTGGATCGATTTCACTGCATCGTCTTTAAATTGAGAGAGGCTCATATGCCTGATTAAAAAGAGCAGGGAACCAACTTAACTACTGGACTCGCATCTCTCAACGGAGGCTTACATGGAAACTAGGTCCCCCCGACCTGACATACTGCAAGCAAGACATACTGCCAGCAAAGACGTCCACAAAACGCATCGCGCCTTTTGGCGGGAAAAATAGGTCCCGCGTTCTGGTCTCTATCCTCTCTGTCTGTCTTTTTCCCCCTCCCTTTCACCCCCCCCCCCGTGTTGTCTGTGCGAGGGTACGCCAAATTCTGATGGGTTGCCAAGGTTGTCATTTCCCGCCAATTTCGTTCCGTTCGGCTCATCGGGCGGGAAAAGATGAGAAACTGTTGAGTGAGGTTTGGGCCGGTGTCGTCTGAATGCGAAGCTATGACTCACATGTTAGTGATATGTCTTATTATGTGAAGTACAGGGGCAGTCGAGGAGCGAAAACAAGACGCACGGAGGGATGATTGTCAGGCGAAATCAGTCTGAGGATTGGAACAAGCAAACATTATGATATAAACACAAAACAATTACATGGAATGTACAGTTGCATTTTCCAATAAAGCACTGAGAAACCAACTTAGAACCCAGAAAATTGTGACAAAGAGAGAGGGTACATTAGACGGCCGATAATCGAACAATCGCTAAATAAGTAAACCGCAGACAGGTTTGAAAGTCAACAGGAAGGCAAAGATACTTGCAAAAACGTACGATAACAATTTCTACATGCGCGTCTGTTGAATATCATATAGTAAACAGAGTATTCGCTCGATTTTTTTACTTAAGGAACAATTTACAGGAGTATAGGAAGGCTACTTTATGAGGAAAAATAACTTCTTTTAGGTTTGAACACTGAACCAGAATACCGCTTGGTGCAAAGATTTATTATCATGCCTGAAAATCTTCTGTTGCATTTGACACCAACCAGTTTGCGATTGTCTTTGTGTGTAGATTTGGTTCAAGAACCGGCGAGCAAAGTGGCGGAAGCGAGAGAGGAACCACATGAATGAACTCAAGAACGGCTTCGGTGCGCAGTTCAACGGTCTGATGCAGCCCTTCGATGACGGCTTGTACTCAGGCTACTCCTATAACAACTGGGCCGCCAAGTCGGCCGCTGCCGCCGCTAACCCACTGGGGGCCAAGAGTTTCCCCTGGTCGCTGAATTCCGTCAGCCCGTTGGCCGGGGTCTCCAACCAACCCATGTGCTTCAACTCGCAGACGTCAATGGCTTCGACGTTCCCCTCGTCGCCGGTCAACGGCGTCATGAGCCACCAGAACCTGAACAGTTCGGCCGGTGCTGCCGCGGCGGCCTGTCCGTACGCCTCGGTGCCGGCGTCCCCGTACGTGTACCGGGAGCCCTGCTCCAGCAGTATCGCCTCGCTTCGCCTTAAAGCCAAACAGCATTCAACATCCATGAGTGGATTCAGCTATCCTGTCAGGCAGTCTCCCACGTTATCGGCTTGTCAGTATGCCGGACTTAACGGCCCAGCGTGAGAGGTATAGCCTCTAGTATGATTCTATCTATGTATTCCTACATCAGTTCTTCTTAGAGGAAAAAGTTATTGTTTGGAAAGCAGTATCGTGCAGCGTGTTACAATGGGTACTGAACTCAACGGTGAAATGTCAGGACCGGAATTTACATGTAAAAGTAGAAAAGCAAACACAAAACGTGGGATTTCGGTATCTTGTTCATTATAACAATGTTATACTTGCATGATGTTTTGGTGGAGATGTGGCAGGAAAAAAAATGAAACTGGCCATGGTGTCATTTCGAACATGTCATTTTAGTGTTTTCAAAAGCTTTGTTGTATGCAGACTGCACGGACATTACCATGCCCATTGCACGTGGTCACAGAATATACGTAATGATGTACTTTTATTTACATGTTTTTAAATGCTAATTTCTGCCCTCGTCTGAAGAAATTAGTGACATTTTGCGCCAATGAACTAAGACTTTCGACCCTGTATTCATGTCGGTCTGTGAAGAGGAGCTTCATGAGGGCTGGAACCCTAAAATAACCGCCGGGTTGTTGCAAAAAATGCTTTTTGCAATTCAAATCCCATGCTCGAATAGCTCGACAGTTACACAGTTGTAAACAGAACCATAGAGGTTTTGAACATGAAAAATTTACCAGCAAGCTTAGAAATTGACGATAGTAACAATTCTAAATAAATAATCAGTCTTCGTTCTAAGATTGTCCCGTAAAGTTTACCAGCACGAATATATATTAAGGAGATTACACGTAGGAAAAACTTTAACAATGCATGGGGCCCAGGAAGATCTTTTTTTTCGGTTCAGAATCTCTCAAGGGTTTTTTCTCTGGCGTGAATTATCGTGTAAGGGGAGCGTGTAAGGTGCACCAGCACAGTTGTGTCAGCACAAACTTCAATGTTAAACTTAATACCAACGACAAATACGCTAAGAGTTAAGGTGTCAGTGTGCGATGGGCAACGGCTCCAAATGATAGATTTGCCCGACACAATCCAGCCAAGATCTTGACTTTGCTTCAAAATGAAGAGAATAATGGTGTGGAGCGAATGATGAAGGTGCGAATGAATGAAAGAAGTCATTCGTACTCTTGTTATTAGTATTTCGGTTCTCAGTGAATTGACATAATACAGCAACGAGTGAATGATTTTTCTCTCTCAAGGCCCTTTGCGAAATGTTTCAAATCTGTACAGGTTTTGACAAAGTATATGTACATTCTTCACAAGTGGTAGCAAGCTTTCTCATTTTGGTAACTGCGAGTGTACTTTACGCACCAAAGGATTTCCAACAGTAACAAGAGGTTATGTAAATTATTAGATGTCAAAGAACTTTCTATTATATTGGAAAGATACTATCGAAGGATTACAGGGTCGAACACACATTTTCTACAAAGAGTGCGAAGACACTTGTATATAATTTATGGAATACAAATTCATTCGTACTATGCTTGTTGAAGTTAATTTATGAAATTTGTTTCTTGTAGGTTTCCTTTTTAAATTCTTGATTTCAGTTATTTCTTGTAAGTCGTCTTCTTCGACAATCCGTGGCAAGCTTGTACGTTGATGGTTAGGGTGGCAGTAGGGCATAAGGACCGTGTACCAATATTCTGTGGTGAGCTATGTGAGGTACGACCCAACATAACTTACACATTGATTTTGGAAAAACAAATAGCGTGCATCCATGCAGCTAAGACTGGATCTAGGGAAGGGCCAACGAGGCCATGCCCCCCCCCGAAAAGGAGCCAAAAATGTTTTCGGAAATATTTTGAAAGGCGATTGAAGTATTTTTGGACTATTTTGGTCAATTTCCTTTCCTTTCAAAAAAGAGTGTAAAAGGCCCTCAAATCTGGCCTCACCCTTCATAAAGGCCCAAAAAGGTTACATAACAGATTTTTCAATGTCTTCCCCCCCAAAAAAAAAGTGGCCCCGGAATATTCGGTTCTGGATCTGCCTTTGTATGTACCAGACCACGGTTTTAACGATGACCCTGAGTTGAATTCCTCCAAGGAGAGCATAATATTATCACAAAGGCCACATAGATGCGACAGTTGCCAAGGATTTCGTTTTCACACGCTACCATGCCGTTGTTAAATAATCTGTCGCTTTCCATGTACCCGCCTTTTTTTCTTTACTTATCATTGATTCCACTGCTTCTGGCGTGGTTACTTTTATTTCTGTTGCCACTGAGAAAAAAATGTTTGGTTGCTCGTTTATTCTGATTCAAAGCTTCCCGTTTTTCCCTTTATTAATTTCCACGCTTCGCAACTATTTACTCGGTTTTAATTGTCAGAGTAATGTTTGCTTCGTCAATCGATTGTTCTCTCTTTATGTATGCAGTCCAAATCATGTGATCCATCATCGTACTGAAAGGAAAAACTGTATTGCAGAGTTATCTCAAATTTATGTAAATTTATGTCACCATTTAAGTCGGTTTTTAGATCGTGGTGGTATTTTCACTCAAAAGTGTGGAATTTTTTTTAATGTTTACTTATACACCTCAGTGCATGTTCAGGTAGCTGAAACCGACATGCAAGATCAATTATTTACACCGTTGTGACTTTTTTTTGTTTGTCTCAGATAGGTAGATGCACTCTGTTGAATTGATATTGATTTCACGAAGTAAAGCCACGAGTGGGGGTAACCTTTAAAAATTAGAAACTTTCTAACGTCAATAAATGGTATTCAAAAAGTATAGATTCCAACTCGTAATTGGTGTAGTTTTCTTACTGCGTCTTCCTGACATCTTTCTCATCCCATGACGGTGGCGTCTAACTTATCTTCAGTGCGCTGAAATTCGAGGATTTATGTTAGGGCAGAAATTTTCTCACAGAAAATTTGGAGTTTATTTATATATTTATTTATTTTTTTTGCCTTGGCCCTGTTAGAAAGTGACTCAAAGTTTGTCACCAAATAGTCCCCAGCCTGCAGCAGAACGAAATTACTATCCCTACGATGCTTTCTTGACTTCCATACCCCCTCCCGAACCGATCATACCGGGTACACGCCTACACGAAAGAACCTAGCGCTTCGCGTGTCATGTTTCAAATAATCGCCCAGTGACACAAGTGACCAGAGTCGAAATGTTTGCGAGAGGATGATTGATGCTTTGTATTAAGAGGTTAGTGGATAGTGACAATGGTAAAAATCCCCTAAAGGATTTCAGAGTCCGATTGCCTTAACCGGTAAACTCAACAAAGCTTTATTAAGCTCTGTTGGACACAAAAATGTGACCAAAATGGGAGTGTTGAACTGAATCGTTTATTGTGTCGAGATTGGAGCACGTCACAGGAAAGACAACACCTCCCAGTATTGAACAATAAGTGTGGCTCGGGAGGGGGGGTGGGTGGAACCCTGCTACGAGGGGGGGAAGGGGGAATGGCGAAAATGGTAATAAAAAAGTAACTTAAGTAAGTGCAACAATGTTTGTCATTTGTAATGTTTCATCATCCTTTTCGCTTGTCCGCAAAATGAGACATTAAAAAAGATCTTCTGCCTGACCCCCTTGTGGAAAAATTCCTGGATCCGCCCCAGTACTAGAACCGCGAAAAATGTTCAAAAGGTTTGATGAACTAAAAGGGTAGAGAGTTGCCCTTTAGCCGAAAAACAAATCATGGTTGAGTTGATTTTTTTTTAACCATGGCACGAATATTTGCGCCTATCCTACACAGAAGCCGCAGTCAAAATGTAGACATCCATCGCTACGGTTCAGTGTCTGTTCCTATTTACGCCAATTTGTCATCAGTGTCAGTCATGCGCGGCAGGGGTTATTGAAACAAGTTATTTTGCGGGGTTCCCTAGCTCCCCAACGTCCTGTATTGGCGTCCCCCTTCACCCGCTCACACTCAACCGCTAGACACGGGCGAAACATTCACAGTTATTCACGTCCTCCATGGTTGGTCTTCAAACGCTCGAGATCACTGTGCCATGTACATGCCAAGTTGGATTTTGAGCTGCGGCAGAACCCAATGAGTACCCTCCCTAGAAATGTATAGACTTCCATGGCACCCTCCCCCCTTTACATCAACTTACTATATTTTGTGAAATGTGGAGACAATACATCTCAAAATTTGACAGAATTTGCCCATAATTATGGAACAGAGAAAAATGGCTTCGTATTCGTGAATGCAATAACCAGTCGCAGACTAGTCGGGCTGATCAAATAGGTTGGCCTTTTCGACTGAAGAAAAAAACAAACAAACCTGAAGCCGAAAGTACACGTACGCCTTATGTGAAAGTCAACTACATGTACAGCGGTTACGCAGCTATTTTAATATGGCGTATCATTTCAGTTCCAGTAGGCTATCATTGCATTGTGTATCTATAGACGTGTACGTCATGGGGAAATTTACATACTTTTTAATTTCATTCTGTCAAACTTTGAAGGAAAAAATCTTTGCACTAACGCTTAATGCATAACAAACTCAAACGATGTGGGTGCCAAGATGGCGGACGGTTGATCACACTGCTCACGGGCCCACTTCTATTAGAAATAGCTATTTAAGCACTTACTCGGGCGCGTGCAGTATTTTAAGTCCTAGCCAAAATAAGTCACATAATGACTGTGGGCTTTTTGAGCAAGTCCAGTTGGTAGAGAAGTCAGTTCGACAAACTCATAGAATGGCGTCATCAGCAAGTGTCATGTGGGATGAATGCATGTTTCGGGGAAAAAAACAACAAATTGAAATATCCTTTCAGATATTTCTTCGGACCAATTTGGGATTTCTCTAGGGTTGCCTCTCTCCACAAAAAACCCCAATAAACAATTCAATTGTTGAAAGTCAAAGTTGGCAAAAACAAACAAGAAAATTATTCCTGGAATTTTAAGTTGACTGGTGATGTCCAACACCCCTATACCAGGCAAGATATGGGACGGAGGGGTACCCCCCCTTACCTGTCCAATCCCTATACACACTGTAGACTATTGTTACCTAACACACCCCCCTAGAAATCTGTAAAAAAATTCCTGAGATTCCGATCAAACAATGACCAACACAAAGGTGTGTGTGTGTGTGTGGGGGGGGGGTTCTCTCCGTCTCATATCTCACTTCAAATGTACACCCCTCCCAATTACAATTGTCCCAAAAAAGTCCTGCAGTGGGATCTTCTGAATGACAATTGTGAGACTTACGGAGGCCCGCTTACGCCCTGCGTATTGCTCGGGATTAACCTTACACGATCACGGTCTGCTACCGCACAGATGGCAGGGTTCAACAAATTTAGTGTGAGCGGTCACGTCGCTGGGAGTAAATTCTCTATGGTTCCATTCTGTTGCTCGATACTTTGCAAAGGGGGACCCCCTCTTTTGCATCTTCTTTTTTGTCGTAGGAATCTTGGAATTCCTTTCAGATTTCGAGGGCGTGCAGTATTGGTACAATAGCCAAGGGTATAAGCGTTTGCATCACAAGGGACCTTTGACACTGCTGAGTATCGTCTGTTGTCTGTTCCCTGTCTTTATGAGAAGGACTCCTTCGCTACACTAATCTAGCAAGTTCACAAGCCAGAAATTGGGCTAAAGATGCAAAACAAATGTGAACCTAGTAGCGACTACTCGCCCACGCCACAACCCCGGACTTAATTGCTCTTGAACGACTTGTTTTCGAGTGTTTGGGATATTTCTCGAGCAAGAAGGGAGCGAAAAGTACCGTGAACCGTCAAGCGGTGAACCCGTGGCAGCCCGCCCCGTTGTTGATTGCTTTCCCCGGTATCGGCTGCAAGGGGAATGAGAGTGAATCTAGGCCGTTTAAAGGAGCTGTAAACCAAGCGTTTAGTGTGCAGTCAGCTTGCATAGTTTTATTTTCTGAAAATTTCGTAGGCCTACTCAAAGCAAAAATCTGCACTGATAACTGCTGGTGGAACAGAAATGCCTGGCTTTTTATTTACGTGAAAGACTCTAGCATAACTGTCTATTTGTTTTAATGAATGTATATTCATATTTATCAATTGAAATTGAAATGCAAGCGCAGTTAGATGAAGACGGTGTGGTCTGAGCAAGTGGTTTATGAGGACTGCATCGGCTGCTTTGTTAACCATCCCCTGGGTAAGTACATGTACATATATTATGTAGAATAACACTGACAAAAATAAGTAGCTCGCAACAGTAATCTCAGCCTCATATTGGCTCAGTGCAATGTTTGATTTGATAGGTTTTTGTTTCTATTGGCGAGTGCTTCTTTAATTCAGCAGACTGCAAACTGCGACTGCAGACGCAGGTAAGAAAAAGTACACGTACGTGCATACCTAGATTTTGGGCCGAGTCGGGCTGCGATCAGTTGCCTGTTTCTCCGCACCGTGATTGATCGCAGAAGGACGCAGCGATGACAGGTGCGCTTGTCGGGTGATGACTTTTCGCCATGTCCGACCTAGTTGCATACGTCTGAAATAAAAAAAAAAAGGAAGAAGATGAAGTCTTGTCCATCAGAGCACCTCAAACTCCTCAGCCGTCTAGTTCCCAACCCGTACCGCCCCTGTCCACCACTAGGGGGGAATAGAAGGGAACCCGGCTTGCCGAGACCTAATTTCCCCGGATTTCTGTCTTCGGGTTAAAGATTCAATCGCTATTTGCCGTTTTGCTGTCTGAAGGCTCCGGCTACAGCCGTTCCGTTTGGCTCCTTCGAGCCAGCGTGAGGCGCGCTCGCGCGACAAACTGGGACGAGGAGGGGGGGTCTGGGCAGCGTTCCCAGTCGGGCGGATGTGTTGCCGCTCGCTGCTACCCTGCTCCGGGTATCTGTCATTGCCAGATTTAGACGGAATTACCTGCACTTTATACTGTGCAAACTGCGGCCTTGGTGTCTCGAATGGTCTCGTTCTCAAAAAAGGAAAGAAAAAGAAAAGAAAAAAGTAGCTGCCGATCTAATTTTATCCGAGAGATGAAGATGGGACAGCTACTTGTAATTGAATGCCAACTGCTCACGCTAAAGTAATCAGACCAAAAAATAACACTTTGACCAACTTTTGAGGATTGCACTTTTATTTGAGAGACCATCAATGGAATACTAACAGTAACCACGTTCTCTAAAAAGTCAAACTTTTTTATCAATTAAATCGTCAAACCCTGAAGTCAAAGATAGAAATGGATCGGTGAAGAGTGCCATTTAAGATTCTGGTCCAGAGAGATAATAATCTTTTCAAATTTACTTTATCAATCTTTTTTGCAGCCATTGGCCATTCATTGTGATTGCCTGCGTTGCGGTGCGAAGGCAGAATTGTCTCATTCTCGAAGGGGTGATGTTTTGACACCTATGGCGCCCTCTTAAGCTTGAAGTGAGAGAATCTTGGTGCTTTAGTTAATCTACTCCCATCCACAGAGCTCAAGACAGCAATATCAAAGGTTCCTCTCCTTTACCCACAGTTGATGCTGAAACCGGAAGGACTTGGTAATACCAGTATGGGCAGTGATAACGCCTTTTTGAGAAAGAGGGCGTTGTTAATTCAAATGAATCTGACCATGATCTGACGTCTTGTGGCGCTTGTAGCAGACGATAGTCATTACCGCTTTAACAAAACGTAAATCCGGGGCTCTACACTGCTCACCTTTTTTCGCTTCCATTCAGGAAAGTATCAATCAGTAGAAATTCGCGGAGTCTGCACGATTGACCCCATTTGTTGAAAGTAGAACTGGGGGTTGGAGTTCAAATGGGGGGGGGGGGTGATTTCGCTAAGTAATCGGGGAGCGCTCGTACGTGACCGCCAAAAAGGTA